CCCCCCCCAAAAGCACCCCCCCTACCTGCTTGGTCCTGTCCTGGGACTCCGGGGACAGATTGTTGTAGGTGTAGTGGGCCTGGGTGATTCCACAGAAGAGCACGGCCACAACACCTACAAGGATGGGTAGCAGAGCAGGGAGGTGTCAGGGGCAGCAAGGACAGGGCAGCCATGGCCGACCGCTAAGCCGGCGGCCTATCATCAGCTTCCTGTACAGCTGGGGAGTAACAGCCGACCAGCCGGCCTAGGGAGCCCCCAAGAGACCAGCAGATCAGCCTCCTGTACAGCTGGGGAGTAACAGCCGACCAGCCGGCCTAGGGCGTCCCCAAGAGACCAGCAGATCAGCCTCCTGTACAGCTGGGGAGTAACAGCCGACCAGCCGGCCTAGGGCGCCCCCAAGAGACCAGCAGATCAGCCTCCTGTACAGTTGGGGAGTAACAGCCAATCAGCCGGCCTAGGGCGCCCCCAAGAGACCAGCAGCCACTTGTCTCCATCACTAGATGCTTGATTCTCCCCAACCATCATATCATGTCAGGTTACAACCTCTACATTTGACACATTAATTCATGTTCTTAAATTTAAGTTGTTCTGAAAGCCCAGTGGTCTTATTTTGGTTCTTGAACTAGTCAATTTATTAAGATGTCTTGCACTGTCTCTTCCGTAAATTTTTGTATTCTTTTTTTTTTTTGCACATAGTGTTCTGTGAAGTGTTCCCCTGTATGTCTTGCGATTTTGGTCCTATCCGTCATGTTTGGCACTGGACCATAAACCATTCTGGTACCTACACACCCTACACAGGCCAACGTGGATAACAGACTCATTGATGGACTTCATCTTGATCCTCAATCACAGCTCACACCTTGCGGTTAGCAAGCATGCCCACTCTTTCCTGTTTTCAGTAATGTTAGTTTGCCCAGGGGGGGGTTCGGCAGCCAGTTGACCTTGGACCCCCAGAGGTTTTTCGGTTCCTCTCCTCCATTGTTATTTGGCTTTCTTTATTTAATTTCTGATGCCGTAATGTATCACAACACATCCATATAAAGCGCCTTGGCATGACTCTGTTGTGAAAGGTGCTATATAAAAATAAACTGAATTGAGTTGAATTGGTACGTTTGCACAAGCAGTAAAATCTGGCCCTGGGCTGGGTCACACCCATATCTAATGTGTATTGACCCTTCTACAGGGGGGAGGGTAAGGGGGTGTCCGTGGTCACCTGTGAAGCCGCATGCTTCGGCCAGGAGGAAGGTACTCCAGGACATGAGGAAGAAGAGCGCCGTCTCCAACAGTGGGAAGTCCCGCAACTTGGTGAATTTGGTGACGTGAAGAATGGTCAAGGGAAACGGGAGATCGGTTTGACACCGAGCGCCGGCTAAGCGGGCCGGGGACCACTAAGCCACCCGCCAAAATGCGGCAGACCGGAGGCTAGGCCAACGAGACGGAGGCGGATGAGTGAGGGGAGGATATCAGAGCCGTCATGACGCCGGTGGCCAGGCCGAGGGCGAAGGAGCCGCTGAAGACGCCCAGGAAAACGCCGAAGGACTTCAGCATGGCCATGGCCTCGAAGGTGTGGCTGTTGTCCCCGGTTGGCTGATAGGCTACGATGGACCTGAAGGCAGCAGAGGCAGAACACAGAGAGGGTGAGAGGCAGAGCGGAGGCAGAGCGGAGGCAGAGCGGAGGCAGAGCGGAGTTTCCCGTAAGGCGGCTCGCAACCCAAGATCTCTGAACATGCAGGTCGGACGCAATAGGAACTATGTGTACAACCTGGCAGAGGAGTGACTAATGTCTTTGTGAAAGAGGAAGAAGCTAAACTGAGAGAACAGGTAGAGGACAAGATACTCGCAACAGCAGCCACAGCATGCAGATAAGAGGGTTCACCCACGCCTGGTGCCAGGGCACGTCACTCCCACAGGGCTCTGGGTGAGAGGAAAGGCATGATATCTCTGGGTAACCATCGCCCAACCCATTCCTCAGCTCTAGAGAACAGATCTACTGATGATATCACTGTTGTGTGGTGTTATGGGAAACTGTACCGAAGACACATTGGGTGTTTCTCAATACAAAGATCGTACTTGTGGTCTTGGCAAGAGCGGTCTTGGTAACTTGCCTCCCAAGAACGAAATCAGGATGCAATGAATCATGGGATTGGTCTCATTTGTCGAGGATGCAACCGATGAATCCTTCATATTTGGAACTGTACTTCTGTTCTTAGTATTGGAACTGGTCTTCGGCAATGGAGGATGATGTAAAATGGGTAGATGAGAACACAAGTACAGTCAAGTACGAATAGTGATATACAGACGCTCCTCTACTTACGAATATTTCAAGTTAAGAACGGCCATTCGTAACGTATCTTGTTCGTAAGTCGTTTTTCAACATCATTTTAAGGGTATACGCAAGTACAAAGAACTAGGATGCTGGGAGTACGTACATTACGCTGCTGCGGGGTGGGAGTAGCGGCCAGAAGTCATACTAGGCGGAATTGGTGCGCAGAAAAAAAAAATTTATGTTGTGGACAGGAAACGGGAGCCCAAATGAACACAATTTGGACTTACAGTCCTCTTCGTCCCTATGTCTGAAAGTTCGCAAGTTGAATGTTCGTAAGTAGAGGAGCGTCTGTACACCTCTACTGTGGTCTTTTATCATAATTGATAAACCGAGAGAATGACATCATTCTTCTGTGGCTTTGCATCATGGGAAACCAAGGTCAGAAACTGAGTGGAAGATGTCACTAGTCTGTAGGGTTACATCACTCCACTACAGATAAGAATGTGGAGGGTCAGAGAGATGCTGGAGGTCAGCAGTACAGCAGAGCACACAGGAGACCTAATTAAACACCCAGGGCCCCGGAAGCCAATTACCAGCACGTCAAGCCATACCGGCCAGATCCGGTTAATGAGGGGGCCAAAGCCTCGTGTAAATGCCAGAAGGAATGTAGGGCAGCCAAGTCCGCTCATTCAGACAGGGCTCAGAGGTCAAAGGGCACCTCGATGCCATTCCGAGGTCCTGTGCTGGGAATTAGCATTCCTAACCATGCCAGTGAGGCCACGCCGTGCACTCGCCGGGGCACACGCAAACAGGACGGCACACCCGTTGGGGGGCGGCCCCTGCGTCTCCACCTCGCCCTCCGGCCTCTCCACCGCCCGGCTCGGTCCGTGCCTCGCCCGCTGGCTCTCCTTGCCGTAATAAATGAGAATTCTGGGAAGGTGCCGGCGGTCAGAGTGTTAGCGATCAGCGCTATCAGCCGCTGCTTAGCAACACAGATGCTCAGAGGTGACACGCTGCACAACACAGAGCGCCAAAGGCAACCCTGCTCTCCGTCTGCGTGCATGAAAAGCCCTGAGAAGCAGCCGTTCTGGGGCGCGGATCTCGCCCATTTTCATCAAACTCTTGAATAAGCCTGTGATTCATTTACAGACAGGGGACCACCGCAGATCCTAAACGGGGCATTTCCATGGTTACAGCAGAGCCTAAACGGCAGGCACCGACATCCCAACGATACCTGCATCACCGCACTCCCCGGGGAGGGGACACTTACGAGGACAGGACGATGGCCACGGCGTCGTTGAGCACGCTCTCCCCGAAAAGCAGAGCGTAGAGATCGACGTCCACCTGGAGCTCGTTAAAGATGGCCAGGACCGTGACTGCAGCGGGGACGGCACAGCACAGTCCTCATAAACCAGTAGAGTTATTTAGTAGGTACATTTATCCAAAGCGACGTACAACTGATAAAGCAACCGGGTTATAGCTCGAGCTCAAAGGCCCAACGGCATATTCACTCTGCCGGCCACTGGGTTCCCCGCTGAGCCACACCGGGCCGGGGATGCAGAGGGCTGGAGGTGAGGGCGGCAGGCACCTGGGTCTGTGGCCGACACGATGGCTCCAAAAAACAGGCAGTCGGTGAAGAAGAAATCGCCGGCCAGCTGGCCCACCTGCTTCATGAGCATGACACAGCCGTACATCACCATGCTGGAGGGGCGAGAAGTGGGCGGAGCCTCGGTCAGTGCACATGGCCTAAACCACACCCCCGACCGATGACATCCACACACCAGGAGTACGTCCGAGTCTCACCCGATGACAAAACAGGACACGACCGTCCCCATGAAGGCATAGGCGAGGATGGAGCCCATGTTTCTGAAAAAGTGTCTCTGAAATGACGGAGAAAACAGTCACGCTACTTACGTTCCTCAGAGGCATAACAACCATCATCATCTTCATCACCATTGTCATCCTCCAGCTTAACCTAACTATTCATAAAACCAACATCTTTGCCAAAGTAAATCAGTGATTCAGCAGCTCCATGGTTGGGTCCCTCACTTACCCTCTTCAAACTGTATCCTGCGTGAAAGATGACCGGCGGCAGCAGGATGTTAAAAAACACCTCCGGGTCAAAGGTCACCTGGAAGAGGACACAGCTGGCGTTTAACCAATCACATCACGCTTACCTTGTAACAGTCAAATGAAACTCAAAGCCAAGGTAGATCCCACTGTGATTTATTACCAACATGGAGAACTTTCTAGCTCTCTCAGCTAAACTCGCTCTGCTTTCCTTCGAGATACTTATCTAACTTCCTCCCACGCTTTTAACAGATTTTTCTATTTCCAATAACTCCGTAAAATTGCACGTCTCTTTAATGCACCACTCAGAGCGACAGAAGTGACCTTTACAAGACGTCGAAAGAAGCCAAGGGGCTTTCCTTCAAATGTTACCACTGCTGCAGACAAAACAAACACATCAGTCTCGTTTATATCTAATAAAATGCTTTTAAAGATGTTCAGCTGATGTCAGTTCATCACTCCAATGAGGAAGCTGCCAAGAGATGAATCAGGCCGCGGAGACTGGATGTTAACAGAGTTTGCATGAAAGGAAGTTTCACAATTTAATTCCCTGCGATGGATTGGCACCCCATCCTGGGTTGTTCCCTGCCTTGCGGCCGTAGCCTCCGGGATAGACTCTGGACTCCCGGCAATCCTGAATAGGACAAGCAGTTACAGAAAAAGGATGTATGGATGGATGGGTAATCCTTTCATCTGCCACGAGTAACAAGGTTTTACACATGGATTATTACTTTACTCCTGTCTTACTCCTACCAGAAGCTGCTGACTTGTACTATGACTCGGATGCTGTTTTACTTTAGCACGCCCTCCAGTTCCTTCCCCAGCACGATGCCCTTGTCACAGCATGCAACCACCTCTGCTGGGCCTTCGGGTAATTTTATTAAGGAGGCGGACGAGTGCCCTCCTCCATGCAGCTGGCTGGGTGCTGGGAGAGGGATCTAACCCAAAACATGGCGACATCTCGATACCAAAGAGATGCACTATGGAGAACCTTCAGCTCAGGCCAATCTGAATGCGGCACAGCACTTTGCGATGTATGCAGAGGACATATCCAGATGACAGACAGTACACACACATGCTTCTCTACAGGCTGTGTCTTTAATCAGTAGATGTCCAGAACATGAACGTGCAGTGTCCTCTGCCGTAGGCGCGTCTCCATTACCTTCCGGAGCATCTCGTTGTCCTGAACTTCATTGACCTCGTTGGCGTTGATCTCGCCCTTTAGCGTGTACTCATAGAAGCGGCCGCTGACGTTGACCAACAGGGTGGCCGGGCTGGCGTTGACGTGGCAGCTGAGGGTCACGTTGTTGATGTCGCGGGGCACGTGGATGCCATACCGGAGGACCACGCCTACCAGGAGACCTGGGAAGGAGAGACCGGCCGGTTCACGACACACTCTCCTGCAGACGCCGTGATCAGCTAGTCAGTAGGTGGAAGCCAGGGACACACATATGTCACCAACCCATCCACATTCAGCAGGGAAGCAGCACGGAGTCACAGGCTGCCTGCTCCAAACTCAAAAAAACTGCCTGCTGAAAGTGAAAGTTCAGGCAGAATTAAAACAGACCATCCCTGAACTTAAATTGTTCCAGGAATATGTTTCTCTGAAAGAGAAAAAAAATCTATTAAGATATTTACGGAAACAAGTTAACAGTAATTATTAACCTTGTAAACAGGGAAGCTTTCAGCATTTTATAAAATATCCTTAAAGACTTGTCCTTCAAAGGTCAGTTTCTAACAAACATAACAAGCACACACACACACATACATATATATATAATGGAGATCGAAATATTTTGTGCAACATATTACATTGTTTAGTCAAGAATTAAAACATAAGTGGGAATTAATTAATTTTTCTACAATCAGTCCTTTCTAGTGTTTTTTCTTTTTTGCGAATAAAACTCCAAACCCCCACCCTCAAAATGACAACACAGAGAAGGGACCTGACACATCATTACAATACGGCCCGGTGTCGCTTGGCTGCTGACCAGCCCTCTCCGCACATGAGGAGCACAAGCGTAAACAGGGGCAGCACCGCAATGCCGCCTGTCAGCGCTGATCGGCGGCTGCTCCCCCAGCGCCAGGCGAAGATGATGCCTCAGTGCCACATTAACACATGCATCAGTCCAGCAGACGCTTTATTAAGCATCACCAGAAGCTGTTCATACTTAAAAAAATCACACGTGATTATTTCTCCTACTGTTACCTCTAACCAAGCGTCTTAACAGCATCTACAGACAGTGACCAGCAGATAAGCGGGCGGATGGATTCCCCGTGTCTGGGAAACCTGGGTCCTCACCGTAAATCATGGCCAGTCCCGTTTCGTGTAAAAACCGGAATCGCCGATGTTTGAAGAGCCATATGGTGAGGATGGTGAGAGTAAGCAGCATGATGAAGATGAGCAGGTTAGCGCTGTCTTGCCTGTGGCTTTCCTCAGCCTGCTTCTCGGTAACGATGTTCTCCATGCTGCTGTCGTCGGCCCGGCTCGCAGCGCACAGGCAGATCAGCAGGCCGCCCAGGATGGACAGCGGCAGAGCCTTGCGGCCACTGTGGGCCGTACCGTTTCTAGTCCTGGACTTCATATCTGGCGGAGATGGACTCAGCCGGACTGTCCAGGCTGTTCCGGTTCGACTCACTGACCCCGCCCACCCGGTCACGTGACGCTGGAGGAACGCAATAGGACCTTTGGCATAAGCAGCCGTTTCTTTGTTTTTAAATAACTTTCACTTATTATTTCCACTTATTCGTAGAATACCATTCCTGAATGCCACAAATAAAATATGCTAGAACATTACAAGTAGCATCATATTAATTGGTTGTACAAATCCACAAGATTCGGTCATTTTCCAAACTAAATATTGCGGGTTTCGTACCGATTGCGGGGCACGTTTTTAAAATGCGCCGATGTGAGTTCGCTATTAAGGCGCGCCGGTGTTATCTCTCGGAAGATCTTGTGAGGTGCGTCATTAATGTGCGCCGGCATGACGGTCTTTACCAGTGCCAGGGTATGTGCACAATACCGTAATGACGTTGTGCGCTTAAAAGATGGCTTCGTCGTTTTGGAAGGCTCTGGTCCTTGTAGGTCTGCTGGCTTTAGCTCACGCAGCTTTCTCGGCAGCTCAGCGTGAGTAGCATCAAATTGATTGAACAGAGATCGTTAAAGCATGCCAATTCTGTCTTTTTTTTAATACACTACGAGTCGTTTCTTCGGTGTCCGCCAGCCATACATCCACCAGGGCCTGAGCTGTAACTGCTACCAAACAGGCATTTGAAAAATAATAATAATTAATTAATTTTACGTTCGTTACATTAACTTCTGCCAGGTTCAGTAGAACGCAATGCTGTTTGTTTTAGGTGTGAAACTCTCAACATAATTAGCAAAGCCTGATTATAATGCTTATAAAGCGTTTCTGTTAATACTTGAGAGTACAGAGATTGTTTGGTCATGATGGGGTTAAATTGTACTGAAAACCATTTAGCCTTGGTACGTATGCGTAGGTGGCTGATATAATTTGAAGTACTTGCAGAGGTTGTATTCTCGTGTTGCGCCATAAATTGTAACCCGTGTCCTGTATTTGAATAAAGTAAACATACAGTGATCTCAAACTCATATTCTTTGTTAGTTAATTCTGTGGAAAAGGGCTCAACAGTCCAACCTTCCGCTAGTTTTTATCACCTTATTTATATAATTATGGTTGCATTGTCGGGAATGGTAATAAGCACTTCTTGTCCACATCGTCCTTAGAAACAGTAACAGGAGACGTTTTGTGCATTTCATGAAAGTTGGTGGTAAACTTAACAGACATCGTCCAGTACATAAACCGTCGTCTATAAAAGGATGCTTGTGGAGAATTTTAGTAAAATTCATGTCATATTCATTCATTTTCCAAATTGTCCGTATTCAGGGCTGATGTAAGGGGTGGCCATGGACCAGCCACCTCACATCTAAATAGCAGAAACAAAATAGGGATAATTTTATTTATAAACGGAACCATCGAAGAGATCCGATGCGTCGCAGCCATGCCCCTAAATATAACTGGTCCCTGATGGCCACCACAAAATTTTTTGCAGGCGCCACTCTATTTATTATAGCGTAAAATCAAACTTGTGCGTGGTTAGGGGTGTAACTCCTAGGCAAACGGGGCCTGATATACTTATGAGCAGGCAGTCTCAAGTTATCAAACGCGTAACGGTTGTAGTTCAAACAACGGCCCTTCAGGCATGCATCTGGCTGTTTTGAAGTAGGGCTGCACGATATATCGTTGAAGCATCATCAGCACGATGTGTGCACGCACAGTAGTCACATTGCATTTCTCTACTGCTTTGTGCCGACCCACTCGCCTTGTAAATAAGCTCTATTTGGCTGTAGTTGATTTCGGGTAATTGCATCTCCTTTTTTGTTTTATAAATATAACAATATTGCTCGCGGGCTTTTCGCATATCGTGCAGACATTTATCTAAGGTATGTACAATTTACAATTGTTTCATGTCTGATTTTACAGATCGGTCTTACATGCGACTCACAGAGAAAGAGAATGAAACACTACCGATAGACGTAAGTGATCTGTTTTCCCCCATTTTAAATGTATTCCTGTAATATTTTCGGTTCTGGTCCAGCACGTGATTCATTCCCTTCCATGCGCTTACAGATTGTCCTGCAGACTTTGTTGGCCTTCATAGTGACCTGTTACGGCATAGTCCACATTGCTGGGGAGTTCAAAGACATGGATGCCTCAGCAGAGCTAAAAAACAAGTAAGCCTTTAGGATCACTCCTTTCTAAAATAAACTGCTGCTCTCTTAAAATGTGCCTGCAGCCCCACTTAATGTGATTAGGATATTTGTACACATTTCTCTATTAATTTGGGAACTTTCAGGTCTTTTCCTAATAAGAACACGACGAACTCAGAGTGCATAACTGAATTTTTCCATTCACAGTGAGTCCATTCATTTATACGGCTGGATGTTTTATTTGCACAGTTCAGGTTAATCATCCAGGTAAATGGCACCAGAACAGCACCCTCTTGGGAAGGAACATACAATTCCATAGATTCCCTAACCGTTACGCCACCTGCTGTTCCATGTGTGTTGGTGCAGTCATTCAGCGTAACTGCAAAGCCAGTGTCCTTCCAACATATAATGCTGCTGTTCTTTTCCAGGACATTCGACACTTTGAGGAACCGCCCTTCCTTTTATCTGTTTAATCACCGTGGCCGGGTTCTCTCCCATTCTCCTGACCAAGCCTCGTTCATCCCCTGCGCCCGGGCTCTGCCAGCCAACCCTGTGAGGTTACGCAAGCTGGAGCCCCTGCACCACTGACTTCTGTCTCTCCATCTCCCACCTTCTCATGTTTCTATGTACAGCTGTGAGAAATATGTCCAAACAAAAAATGTACTGGTCTTGGCTCTCGTAAGACACCCCCCAGGTGGTACTCTGTTTGCCTGTGATCCTTATTACATTTTAATCACAATGCAGTAGGTGACCTTGGACTGAACCACTACCTGTATTTATGGGGGTGATTTCTTGGGACTTTTCCTCCCCAAACCATGAACAAGAATTTTTTTTAACCATTTCTTGCCGTAATAAGCAGACTCCGATGCCTTTTTGTCTTATGCAGAGTTCACTAAATACTAATGCTGATGTTTGTGATTGGAAGGTTTTTTTTCATTGTACTCTACACAAAGTCATGTTAGGTTACAAGTTGGCTTTAACTTGAATGCGAGCTGTTGTGCAGGAGTTGGATATGTAGTAAAGCAGGAAGCTGTAGCATAGGATATATGTGTGATACTGCAAATAAACTGAAATCAACTATGGAGAACTACAGTATACATAGGGCACATGTTGTGTATTTTAAAATCGTGTGAAAAATGTTAATTTATTATGGTTTTGACTGCACGTTAGCCTTAATTTTTCATTTGTTGACCGTTTCTAAAGAGGAATTCTACTACATGTACATAAACTTCATGTTTTCTCTTGCCTAGTAATAGTCTGAACCACGTCATTTTCTGTAACTAATAAAAATGAAAATACATTTTGTATTTTTATTTCCTGCAGGGTGGGTCATTGTTGAATTCAGCTCACTGTAATTATTTAATAGAGCAGTGTTTTCCAAGTCAGTCATTGGGGACCCTCAAGACACTTTTGCTACCGGGAGCCAAGAGAGAGCAAAAATGTGGACTGTCTGGGAGGGAGCAAAAATGTGGACTGACTGTGGGTCCCTGAGGACTGGGCTGGGAAACACTGTCATAGAGCATTAATCATTTCAAAGCAACAGAAGCTGGCAGCTGTAGAAGCCTCAGAGGAGTAGGACTATTTCAGTAAAGTCAAGTGCTGATTTAAAGAAGAAATTGCAGTTTGTAAAAATCATTCAATCTCAAATTGGAAGTAAAATGGAGGAAGAAAAAAAATGAGATTAGAGTTTTTTTTGTGTCCAACGTCATTTCCTGGTATATGAACAAACACATTTATCAGTTTTGGATAGATGCCCAGCAATGAACTGGCATCCTGTCCAGCCCGTACCCCAGCTGTGTGCACTAAGCTGCATGAGAGATTCTGGGCCGGGACAAACAGAAGATAGATGGATGCATTTTTGGATATAATTCTCCTTTGAGATTATACACAGTTCCCTGACTTGCTATGTGTAAGAAGTATTTACATGAGCAAAGGTAGCATTTGCTGAAATCCTCCTAAGTTTGTAATTAAAAGAGAACACACTTTCAAAAGACTGCTGACTAATATCTACTGGATCTGAACTTCCCAGCAGAATAGCGATCAAGGACAGTGTATCCCCGCAGGGCGTAACCTCAGATCACACATCCGCAAGTTTTACAAATGAAATGTCTGAACTAATATGTAAAATCCACCTATTCCAAACAATACAAAATAACTTTATACACTGCTTTTAAGAATAAACAAACAAACCCCTCAGCAAGTTGGTCGTCTTCCCACGGAAGCACCATGCATCCGTAACAGAAAGGCAGAATCATGTTAACTCTCCTCAGGTTTATTTTGTTAAAAAAAGACATGTTTACAAAATGTATTATACAAGGTTTATTTTAAAATAGTCATTTTTTGCTTTGGTAAGAATACTGTCCAAAAATAGCCTTTTATTATGTATGAACATTAAAAATTAATATACATCTTTCACCAAAGACAAAAAACAGATCTGGTCTGTGGTTTTGAACAACGTAACAGAACTGACCCGTCCGGTGACAAGGTGACTATGGTGTGGTTGTGGATGATACATAACCGGACCGCCCGGTTCTGTAAGGAGGTGAGTGCATTGTGGTTCTGGATGATGTAACCAGACCCACTGGTTCTCTGAGGTGACTGCACTGTGGTACTGGATGATGTAACCGGACCAGTCGGTTCTATGAGGAGGTGACTGCAGTGTGGTTCTTGATGACGTAACCAGACCTACTAGTTCTGTGAGGAGGTGAGTGCAGTGTGGTTCTGGATGATGCAAGTGGACCGACTTGTCCTGCACTGAGGTGACTGCAGTGTGGTTCTGGACCAGTCCTGTGATGCACACTGTGGCTAAATGAACCAGACCCATGGAGGCAGACTGGGTTTGGCAGCTAACAGGCCTTAACTAATCCAGAATTTTACAGAAGTTTATCAGCAATCCATCCTTATCCAGCCAAAGATCCAAAATGTCTTCAGGTATTAGTTTGACTGGTGCATTATGGGTATATGGGCGTGAACAGCATCCCCAAACAGCCAGTATCTGTGTGTCCACTGGAGGGAACGTGCGTCACTTTCAGCCTTCTAATGAGATTTGTTTTTACTGGAAAGCTTTAAACAAAGACTGGTCAAACAATGTAGAAATGTAGCCATCAGGTGACAGGGGCATTTATGTGAAAATATTCACTGAAACAATATACATAAAATGCCTCTGAGGTAGTTGAGACTCCCACTGGTGTCACTTATCCAGCCTTCTGCCTTTCCTCCCTCTGCATCAGCCACGTGCGAGAGACCCTACTTCCTTCAACACGTCCATCAAGCTCCTCCCCGTACTCAGGCCACACCCCCAGCCAGCCGTCCCCTCCGGCAGGGTCACACATCTCTACCCTGGAGACAGCTATTCATTTGCTTCTTTTCACCGTTCGGTTGAGCAGAAACATAAAGACACGCTCCGTGTTTTAGGCCCTGGGCAACCCCCGCCGCAGATGGGTCACCGTCGTGCCTTCATCCCCCAGGGGTGCGCCGCCTCCATGCTACCTGCAGTGGGCGTTGTTGGTCATGAGCTGTGGGGTGTCCATCTCCTCCAGGGCTGCCTCCAGCTGCTGGATTAGGACACGCTTCTTAAACCTGAAATGAGGGGAAACAGAGGGAGAGAACTGTGACAACCGTGAGCAAGAGGGAGGACCACAGACAGAGTGAGGGGGGGGAGAGAGAGCTGTACCAGACATCCTCACACAGGTACTCTCTGTTCCCTCCCATCACTGCGAACACGCCAGCTGCTGTCGCCTGACCTGCAGGCCTCCTTGATGGTGTTCTGGATGAAGTACTTCTGCACCTCCACGGGGCCCCGCACTTCCTCTAACAGCCGGAAAATGGTCTGGTAATCTGGACACGAGATTGTGGAGTATTAAAGTGCAGAACCCTAACCTTCACACCCGCGATGCTACATCGTCCCAGGGACCCCAAAACACTGAGAGCGACATCACAGCTTCCGCCAGCCACTCACTCCTGCCCGGCTTCCGCACTTCCTTGATGACCCTCATGCGCAGTTCTGCGTTGCTGCCCTCTAGTGGAGGTATGAAGATGGTGTCGGGCTCCCTGACGGGGTCGGCCTCCCCCTCGGGACTCTCGGCACAGCCCTCCGCGCCGGGAGGACTCAGCTCCTCGCCGTGCTCCGCCCGCTCAGCGGGCCTCTCACCCAGGCCATCCTCCCCAAAGTCGCCCTGCAATCCACCTCCGTGATTGGCGCCCACAGCGCCCCCCGGCTCAGAGGCAACACCCCCGTCCAGCCCCCCAGGCCAGCCCCCGTCAGGTTCCACACCTCTGACACCCCCGTTGCTCTCTGTGCCTGGGACGAGGCCGCCCTCTGTTCCTGCGTAAATAGGCAACATTGTCAGAGCACGGCGTCAGAGCAGACCTCCTTAAGGAAGATCACCATAATGGCAGACAGACCCTTTGGTGCCGTGGAGGTCTTGATGAAGCTGTTGCTGCTCGGGGTCCCGGGGGGGCCCTTCCCCAGCACATGGTTGGTGACGACGGGCGGCGTCGGGGGCCGCCGCAGCAGGGGTGACATGCTCCTCCTCCTCTTGGGTGCCACCCCCAGACTGGGGTCACCCCCACCCCCTCGCTTCTTGCTCTGAGGGCCTGCGACAAACTCGTCCGCTTCGTCCACCATCATCCCCTGAGTGAGAGGGAACATGAACGTGAGGGGGGGGGGGTACTGGGGCCTCAGCGGAGCTCAGTGGGGAGGAACTGCAAGCCCAACCCCCCTCCAACAGAACTAACAATCCCTCCATTTGGTATATAATACAAGTATAACACAATAAGCATTAATACCATATGTAACACCATATATAACCCCATTCATAATTATGCAACATGTAACACAATATATAACTAAAAAAAGACAACAACGTATTCCCCAGACAGCCTTGTCTAGTCCCTTCTCCTCCCACACCTCCCAACCCCTATAATTTCTAGAATTCTGGATGGATCAACTGGAAATGTAAAAGCCAATAAATGTGTTTTTACTTGAATTCTCCGAGTCCCAGTCATGACATACTGCTGAAATTACACCTATTTGTTTAATGCACATTCCACTTACATGCCAATTAGCGTGTCAGTCTCTCCCTAGTCAGTTAGGTAGTTACCTGCATTCCTTTGTATATGTCATAACTAATAACTAATTAAAATGTCACTTAAATTACAGCATTCAGTCTTTTTGGGTAGGAGTCTATCAGCTTGCCACATCTTGACTTGGTAATATTTGCCCACTCTTCCCTGCAAAAGCGCTCCAGACCTGTCAGATTGGAGGGCATCTCCTGT